AGGAAATGAAACCATGTGCATCAGCCCCAGTGAGCCAAGCCTTTGTTCTCTTCAGCCTACAAAATTCTCGGGGGGAGAGGGGGAGGTGTGTGTGTGTGTGTGTGTGTGTGTGTGTGTGTGTGTGTGTGTATGATCTTCCTAAGAGGCCTCCAGAACATAGACAAAGATGGAAGCATTGTACCCTAGAGTAGTTCCTTTAGAAAGAAGTTAATTTTCTATAGGTTATATTCAATTTAGACATCTTTTGCTCCCCTCTGGGAATGTTTAGCAATTACCTTTATCAGCGATTTGTGGTTTGGTATATCCTTTTCTCCACAAGTTCAATTATAAAAGATTTATTCAGGAAACCTTTAACATTCTTTATTGTGGTATGTAGCATACTTACAAAAAGGCAAATATAAATGCATGTATAGTTTAAAAAATAACAAAATAAGCATCCATGAACCCATCACCTGGCTTAAGAAGCAAAATATTGCTAGGGCCTATGAAGATTCTTGCTAATCTTTCAAGGGGCAATTTTTGCTGTGTGTCTAAGAAACCTAATACATATAACAAGAGACTGGAATTTACAAAATTAAAATTATTCACATTACAAAAGCTATATTCACTTTATAGAAGACTTTAGGATACTGTAGGGCAGTTCCTCAAGTATACTCAAGTATTTCTTGCCAGATTTTAAAGATTATTTTGCGTCTAGATGTTGCCAGATAAACACATCTCTGAATGTATAAGGTAAATCTGTGGAACAATATTATTGGTTTTACATATAACATTTTATGAACACATCAACTATACAAGGTGAATCTGTAGATGTTAATAACATCATGCTAAATATAAAGTAGAATGAAGTATGTATATGAGAAAGCACAGGAATTGGAAAAAAATTCTAATTTAGAATATCAAGGAAGACTGGAAGCAAAAGCATTTAAACAGCATCTGGAAGTTTGGATAGAATGTTGATGATGGGAAAGACTGGAGAAGAGGCTTGGGAAACTGATTAGTTGTATTGCTACTGTGCTTCTCAAACTTTAATGTGCATAGGAATCTGAGGATCTTGATAAAATGCTCACTGATTCAGTGGGTCTGGGGTGTGGCCTGAGAATGCATTTCTAACAAGTTCTTAGGGAATGCTGGAATTGATTCTCTCTTATCATTGATGTTTCTATCTCTTTCCCTATCCCTTCCTCTTTGAAGTCTATATATATATATATATATATATATATATATATATTTTTTTTTTTTTTTTTTTTAAAGCCATACATTAGAAGCAGGTTTGGGTTCAAAGATGACAAGTTTCATTTTAGACATTTACATGTGTGTGTGTGTGTGTGTGTGTGTATAAATAAATAAATATATATCTATATATATATATATATCTCCTATATAATAAAAGGTAATATGCAAATAGGCCAAGCAGCAGGACAACCAAACAACCAATCAAAGCATAGTATGCTAATGATATGCTAAGGCTGCTCAACTATGATGTGCGCTGACCACCAGGGGGCAGATGCCCCGATTCATAGGTTAGCTTGCTGCTGGGGTCTGGCGGATCTGGACTGAATGAGATGGGCTGGACTCGCCCTGGAGCCCTCCTGTGATCCTTCCCTGGCCCAATCATGCACTGGTGGGGTCCCTCATCCTGGCCTGCACCCTCTCGAAATCTGGGACCCTTGGGGGATATCGGAGAGCTGATTTCAGCCGATCCTGCAGATGACTCCCCTTGGAAGGGCGCCAGATGCAGGGCTCATGGTTAGTTAGTGCTGCTGTGGCAGAATTGATTGGGTGCAAGCTCGAGGTAGGCACAGTGAGGCTGGGATGAGAAGGAGCAGCAGGTAGGAGCTGCAGGCAGCATTGGACTACGGGTTTCTTTCTTTCTTTCTTTAATTTTTTTTAAAATTAAATTATTATCTGTGGACTGTGGGTTTCAGCCCCATCCCTGCAGGCCACCTAAAGGAACCCAACCTGTGCATGAATTCACATACTGGGCCTCTAGTGTGTGTGTGTGTGTGTGTGTGTGTGTGTATTATGCTAAGTGTCCAACCATCTGGTCGCTATGACGTGCACTGACTACCAGAGGGCAGATGCTCAACACAGGAGCTGCCATGACATGCACTGGCCATTTACAGAGAAATGGCACCACAGACCTGGCACCCACAAAACACACAGACCTGGTGCCCACAAAACACAGGCCCTGCCACCACCCTGGAGCGGCAGCCCAACAAATTGCAGCTGACTCTGCCGAGACCCCATGGTGCAAAATGCAGCCCACAGCCCAGCTCAGCTTGAAGGTCACTTTGGGCACTGAATAATGACATCATGTAGCAGCTCCCTGCTTCCTATCCCTAGCAACTAGCCTCCTTGGAGTTTCTATAGCCCAGGAACACAACTTGCTTTATAGCCAGGTGTAAACATTTTCAACGTTAACCAAATGTCTGTAAAGTGTTTTCCTGTGCCTCATCTCATTTGATCCTCACAGAAGTCCTGGAGAAGGTAGATAGGAGACTCAGTGGAATCCTATTTTCTTTTGATTAGGCAGAAAACAGAGATTTAGAAAGCTTAGAAACTTGACTCAACTGAAAAGAAGTAAGGAATGGTAGACCTTGAAAATGACTTCAGGTTTTCTCACTGCACAGAATATAGTCAAACATCAATGTTTCTCTCTCCCCTTCCCTCTATAAATAAATAAATAAATAAATAAATAAATAAATAAATAAATAAATAACGGTAAGACCTTAAAGACAAACCAACATCTATACCGAGAACTCTTTTGCTCCAGTAAGTCCAAGAAACTTCTCTAATGCCTGTCCATTTTCCCTTAGGGTACTTGTTCTCAAACTTGTTCTACAGCTAAATCCCAAAGGACAAGCATTGAGTTTTAAGTTCACTGAAACCAAAATCCTGAGGGAAAGAACATCTAATTCTCTTTCATTCTGTGTTTTTAGAAAGATCCAACATGTTGATCTTACTTGTTTTTAATTGTCACTGACCATGGAATTGGCTAGTCTGTTCATATTAACATTTATAACCAAATTAAAAGGATTATTTTCTGCTGGCTCTTTTTTATCTGCTGGTTTTTGTTTTCTGTAGCTGAAGTTTTCCGTTGAGGTTCTTTTTAACGCCTACATGCAAACTGAAGAGCACTCAAGCTTTGGTGGGATATCACCCACAGCTGGAGTGATGGAGGAAGGGAGGAGAGTACACACCTCAGGTGCATCCTTCTTTAAAAAAAAAAAAAAAAAAAAAGACAAAAACCACTTAAGCAACCAAATTCCATCTGAAAGCAGGCAAGACCTATCCAGAGAAAGATAGGAATGAACTCTTTCCATCTAGGAAATGGATATCAATTCATATATAACCCAGATGCATGGGATAAGCAAATTTGAAAGATGTTGGCCCTGTCCTGCAGTCCTACATCTCTTTTAATCAAAGAGAGAGAGGTTGTGAACCATGAACTGTGGTGAGAAGTGGTGGAACAGTGTTGCAGCAATGGCTCCTCTGTTGGTGGTTAGGCCCTGTCTTGCTCTATTAAGCAAACACAGTTAATATAGATGAAAGGTAAGCTTGATAGAAGTGAAAATTGAAACTTGGTTGAAGGTAGTAAGCCAGGCACAGCTGCAGTTTACTTCCTCCTATGTGGCAACAGGAGCTGCGCTCACTGGTGTTTTTGAAGGGATGTAGTTTTTTTTAAATATCTTTTCTTCAGAGTGTTTTGGTTTTTAACATCTACACCATTGATGGGAGAGTGTGGAGTATGGAATATGTCAGTAATGAGCTACTTAGACTTGGTGTGCCTAGTGTGTGAGGTCAAATCTAAGTTCAGCATTCTAATTCTGTAAACTGGCCCTGTAATCTTAAACAAATCACCAAGAATATCTCTGTTCCCAGATTGTCTTATATGAAAAACAAGGAATTTAGATAATCTCCAAATTCCCTTCCAGCCTTAAAGTTCCATTGATTTATGATTCCTCATGAAGAAGTATAACTTCCAGTTTCTAATAGAGTACAAATATTTTTAAAAATAAGCATTTATGCAGCATGTTTTAGATATGAAAAATCCCTTACAAATGTTTATTATCATCACATCAGGCAAATATTTAGGTTTGGTTAGTGTCAGTACATAGATTTGCCTTGTTCATTTCTTATGTTCATATGTCACAACTCTTTTAAAGATAGTACCTGGCCAGCCAGCTTGCTTAGACCAGACCCTCTTCCCTATCCAGTCCTACAATTCTTGGGTCTTGAGTTTAGTTGGTTTAGGTCCCTTTCCCCTTGCTTAGGTTGGGCTCCATTTAGTTATGTCAATGAAAGTGACTCCTCTGAAGGTTATGTTAAAGAATTACTTCTCCTTTTATCTTTCTCAACAGTATTTCACTAGTACTGCCAGCTTCCTCTACTTTCAATGTTGTCTCTTTATCAGTTCCAAGATAGATAAGACTCATTTTAGCAGTTCATCTACATGGAAAAGGAAGAGGCAAAGCATGGCTTAAAATTAGAAAAGCTGTAGTAACTATTCAACTTTCAATCTTAGTGGTTTAAAATGGATGCATTGGAAGAATTAAAACAGTATTTTCTTCTTGAAACCAAAGAGCATATCATTTTGGCTTTTAACTGAAGCTACCAAAAAAGGTACTAGATCTGAAAACTTTTCTTCTTCACAGTACTGGAGAAGAGTTGCTCAAAATGATTTTTTCCTAGTTGCTTTAGAAATCATAGCTAAATCTATTATATCTTATTTTCTGAATGGCCTAAAATGCTTGTGTGTGTGTGTGTGTGTGTGTGTGTGTGTGTGTGCGCGCGCGCGCGCGCGCGCGCAAGTTTTTCTGACTATGGTTCTGAATTCCAATAATTTGTGATCATCTTAATGGTGTTTCCTTGTTTTGATTATGTACAATTTTATATTTGCTTCATTTGGTATTTGTCAGTTGTGGGTCTGCTCTCTGAGCTGCTTTGATAGATCCAAATACAATCATTGTTTATTTCTTGTATTTTCCTCCCCACAGACGATTCAACGAAAGTGAAAGATGAATATAGTGAAAGGGATGAGAATGTTTTGAAGCCAGAGCCCATGGGAAATGCAGAAGAGCCTGAAATTCCTTACAGCTATTCCAGAGAGTATAATGAATATGAAAACATTAAGTTGGAGAGACATGTTGTCTCATATGATAATAGCAGGCCGACCAGTGGCAAGATGAACTGTGATGTGTGTGGATTATCCTGCATTAGCTTCAATGTCTTAATGGTTCATAAGCGGAGCCATACTGGTAAATAATCTCCTTTATCCGTTCTTCTGAAACTGTCCTAATGCAACCATGTGAGAAATGAACGTGGGACAACTTTTGATTACTTTCATTGATTTTTGCTATAATTCTGATGTATGTCTCCCTCTCTGCATTTCCATTTACCCAGTAATTTTTATTTCTGTTTCACAGTGCATTTGGCAAACATTGCAAAATGCTATGAATAACAGAATGAGTATAGAGAGCATTTTCTCCAGTTCATAAGTAGGAATTGAATTGTGTGGTATACTTCTTAAGCATCTTTCTTATATTTTTGCATAACTTTTATGGAAAGCAGATCTCACATATTGGGTTCAAATTTGGTAGATGAAAGAATATAGTTTTTATTACCAGTTTTAAAAAATTTATCTTCAGACAATAGTCTATAAAAATGTATACAAATATAACAGATCCATTGAGCCCAATAGATTCTACCTGTTATGAATACTTTTAAAAGAAATATTTCTCTACCTTAGTAGCTAGTCTTTGGCTCTTTTTTTCAAGTTGAGATTATATTTTAAAGGAATGCTAAGTAATGTAAAAATTTACATCTAGAAAGCTCTTCTAGAGCTACTCTTATTTCTGTTTTTTTGTTCTGATTCAAGACAAGGTGATAACTAAAATAGCCTTGCAAGGTGAGTGCTTTTTCTCTTCTAGAGGGAAGTTTTCATAGGGAAGTCTTATGTTTGCCTGGAAATACAGCTCAGAGCTGACCCCAATAAAAACAGACTGTCTAAAAAGTGAGCTTTTGCCATAAGCATCTAATCTGTGCATAGGCTTCACCATTTGCCAATGATCAGAAATTTCCTTTTTGTCCTTTTTAAAGGTGAACGCCCATTCCAGTGTAATCAGTGTGGAGCATCTTTTACTCAGAAAGGTAACCTCCTCCGCCACATTAAACTGCACACAGGGGAAAAACCTTTTAAGTGTCACCTCTGCAACTACGCATGCCAGCGAAGAGATGCACTCACAGGTCATCTTAGAACTCATTCTGGTAAGTGAGAGCAAGGAGCGTTCCATATGTAGTAAATGTTTCTCAGTGCCCATTGCAGAAACTAGAAAGAGTTAAGTAGGGAGGTTTTCATCTGTCACTACTGTTGAAGGGTTACAACAGCAGAGACCTTTAGGGCTAATTACACTTCCATTAAGGCATTAATTGCTCTCCGTCTGGCTCAATGGGGATGATCATCTCCTTACCATCCTTGCTCCCCTAGAGAACAACACAGACAGGAAGAGCCTGCCCTATAAAAATGCCTTTTTAACTTCTTTGGGGGGCCAAAAAAATTAGAGCCATCAGTGTTTTCTTATGGTGAACTTTATTAAAATATTATTTTCCTTGAAAACACACACACACTTTTCATTCAAAGTCTGGACAAGCCAATGTTGTATAGTTTGTAAATTATGAAAAGCTGTATACTGGGTATAAATCATTGGTAGGTGGTTACTTTCGGCTACTCTGGGCTAAACTTGAAGGTTTTTGGCCAGTCTTGGCTAAATTTCTTTTTAATTGAGATATAATTGACATAATATATCATTGTATTAGTTTTAAGTGTACATGGGATAAACTCAGCTTTCTTCTTTATCAGCCTAATTATTTTTAATCTCTAAAAGAGGAGCAGCAATACGAATTCATTAAAAACAATGTTCTATCTTGTTTTTCACTTCTTATTTTAACCAAGCACGATGATGAATTTGTTTTCAACATTTAGACTTTCCCTCCTAGAAAAATAAAACTGACTTTATTTTTCAAATTTGGGACCTCATGTTCTTGATGTTATCTGATTACATTTTATATGAAGAAGAAAAAAAAAGGTTTGTTTTTATGTCAATCCATACACTGCTTTGACTAAAACTCAGCCCCAAATCCTCAAATGATCACAATTCAGAGACCAAGGAATAATCAAATCAGCCCAACAAAACCCACCGTCAAACATAAGTAGCAAAATAAGGGTTTACAGCTTAGTGTTCAAAAATATGGATTAGGGCTGAGTTTGGTTTAAAAAATTAGAATAGTTCTCTTCTGTTGCTTTTTTTTTTCAACTAAGATCTAACAGTAGTAGTCATTTTTAAGACAGATTTTAGAAGACACCAATTTATAGAGAAACTTAACATTCTTAGCCCTAGCAAAGCGACATTTATTTTCATTTGGGATTCCACAAGCATCTTTTAGTGCGTTAAGTCCCAAAGGCTCTGTTTTAGACAGAGAAAGAGGACTAGAAAATAAAAATCTCAGTTTCTAAAACTGACAAATTTATGGGGTACATTTTATCAACAAACCAGAAAGGCCAGCCTTGCACACAGAACTGAAGTTATTTTTTACATATTTTAAGCAATAAAGCATTTGAAAGAGTTGGGATGATAAACGGCCTGAATTGTATGGATGAACTTTTGAGGTAACCTTTATTACATCTTAGAAATTAAGATGGTCATTTTTGCAATTCATCCTTATTTCTGTTATTCAAAATTATCCTTAGTTCATTGCTCAGTTTTTATAAATTTAGCAGACTTTATATCCACTTGGCAACAATGAGCTAAATTTATCTAAATATGTCAACACTCTAAGGCCATCAATTTCTAGCTGAATGGCTAACTCCCACAACATAGAGCATTTTTACTTACAACCAGATGGACATCACAAAATAAGTGATTCCTTCCTATTTCTCTCTTAAACCACACTAACCTCCTTGAAGAAAAAAAAAAAAAGGCCCTATATTATTCTCTAAAGAAGCAAGATTGGATCTGGAGCCACACTACTATATTCAATGATAATCATTAAATCCAAAATTTTTTATTTGTGAAAGGAGACTGTCCTTTCAAAGAATACATCATAATTCATCATAGACCATAACCAAACTTCAGTTTATTAAATTTAAAAAATAATGCAATTGCAAAAGTATCCAAATTCTCTGGCTGCCCTCAAAAGTCTCATTTCTAGTGAGCAGTTTTCATAGAACTCTGATACATCATTTGTTCTGTAACCCTGAGGGTCACTGAGTGCCCCCTGTGCTCTCCTTATAGTTGAGAAACCCTATAAATGTGAGTTTTGCGGAAGGAGTTACAAGCAGAGAAGTTCCCTTGAGGAGCACAAGGAGCGCTGCCGTACATTTCTTCAGAGCAGTGACCTTGGTGAAACCGGTGAGTTCATGCAACACTCATTCTACACAGCATCTCCTGTTCTGGGTGGTGGAATACAATAGTAAATAAAAAGACAAAAAAAAAAATCATGCACTTATGGAGCTCATATTTTCATGGGGAAAGTAGATAAGTAATGTGTACAGTATATTAAGAGGTGGTAAGTAGTGTTAAGAAAAATGATGGGTTGGGGGAAGACAAAGAGGGTAAAGAGGATCAAATACATGGCGATGGAAGGAGACTAGGCTTAGGGTGATGAGTACACAATAGAGCTTACGGATATTACATTACAAAGTTGTACACCTGAAATTTATAGAATGCTATTAGCCAATGTTAACAGATTTAATAAGAAATAAAAGAAAAAATGGGGACTGAGGGAAATCAGTGAAGGCTTCAACCAGGAGACATTTAACAAACTTAAAGAGATGCGGACAGAGTCCTGCCCTGCTGATAACTAGGATATAGCAAGTGCAAAGGCCCTGGAGCTTGAGTTTGAAGAAGTGTAAAGAGTCCTGTGTAGTTGGAGTAATAAGCCAGAAGGCCAGAGAGGAAATGGGAAACCAGATCTTATCAGACCTTGTAGGCCATTGTAAAAACTTCAACTTTTACTCTAATGAAATAGAAAATCTTTAAAGGGTTTTGAACAGAGGTGACATGATTGGGCTTTTTCCTTTTAAAATAATCACTCTCTTTGCTATTGAGGATAGATTGTATTTGGGGCAAGATTGGAATTTGGAGAGTCTGGTTAAGAGGCCATTGCAATCACTCAAGAAAGAGAAAATTGTGTCTTGGTTGTGTTAGGAGCAGTGAGAAGTATTCTAATTATATGCATATTTAAAGGTAGCATCAACAGGATTTCCTAACAGATTGATGAGGGATGTGATGAAGAATGCAGTTGCCATGAACTGAAATAGCAAAGACTGAGGGTGGAACAGCCTGAAGGGTGACTAGGACAGAGTTGATTAAAACTGCACGGATTGCCGGGGCCGGTTTGGCTCAGTGGATAGAGCGTCGGCCTGCGGATTGAAAGGTCCTGGGTTCGATTCCGGTCAAGGGCATGTACCTTGGTTGCAGGCACATCCCCAGTAGGGGGTGTGCAAGAGGCAGCTGATCGATGATTCTCTCTCATCGATGTTTCTAATTCTGTCCCTCTCAATTCCTCTCTGTGTAAAATCAATAAAATAAAATAAAAATTTTTTTAAAACTGCAGGATTTTCTTTGCACAAGGCTCCAACGTCAAATACTTCTCTAGTTACACTGTAGCCAGTGTTTTGAATTTTATGCTCCGAGGTGATTGGTTGAAACATTAAATTCTTTCCATGTATAAGTTGTGGTTTTATTTGATTTTCATTCTTCAGTCGAAACAGCCTGAAACTTTTTTGTGTTGCATCTCTGCAGCTGTCCTTTGTTCTAGCCCACTGACCATCATCCTGGTTCTGTAACTTGGGTTGTCTGGCACTTTTATTTGGTCACTTGAAGTACTTGCTTAGTACTTGCTTAATCCTCATGAGATTTGGTGTTTGACAGTAATAGTTGCAGTTGAATAGTTTAAACATACTAAAGCAGAAAGATTACAAAAAGATGATAGAAATAATGTGAAACTCAGGAAAAATTAAGTGGAAATCATGAGTTTAATTGTACCCGTTTTGAGAGAGAGGAACTTTTGTTATAGATAAAGCCTATTTTATGGTGTTCGGAGCTGGCCAACTGAATTCTGCTTCTGCTTTTTATCCTGATGGCATCTTTGGCTTTATCAAGGAGTTGGATTTCCTCTTTATTTCTAAAGAGAAATATTTACTCTCTTTAAAAGAAACCTTTCCAAAACGTGGGTTTTGACATCTTAAGCAACATTCTTAAGGTTAGTCAGGCAATACCTAGGCATCTTTACTTGTAGTTTTATATTTCATATTATAGACAAAGCTCTTACTGTAAGAAATCCCCAAATTATGAAAATCTATCATATTCCAAATAAAGCATAATATTTAAAGCTAGAAAAATTAAAGAGAACATCTAATCCTACATCTTCAAACTTAAGCTCCAGGGCCTTGGCACCTGTGTATGCAAATTAACCCACCATCTTTGTTGGGTTAATTTGCATACTCACTCTTGATTGGCTGGTGGCATCATGAAGGTAAAGTGAATTAGCATGTTACTCTTTTATTGGGTAGATCTGATTAGCAAAAGAAATATAGTAGCACAAATACATATGTATACATGTGTGTCTTAATTCTCTGGAATAGGAGGAAAATCAGTACCCTACCTTCTATGAACAATAAGCTCAAAATTATTGATTTTGAAATTAGGTTACCACCTTACTTCCCATCCATAATCTTTTTTTAGGAATTTCAAATTAGGAATTATTAAGAGAAGTATTTTAGTTATCTTTAGTGGTAAAAGGTGATTCAGGAAATGCTAAAATACAGAGGTTAAATTGCATTTCATAGGGTGGTTTAATGGGTGCGTGCAGCATATTTTAAGTCTCAGCAAAAAAAATAAAGGGTTAACTAAGTCAGCAAGTTTTGACTTAAATAAAACAAATACGTTGTAATGGTGATTTCAGGTTACAGAATGTATAAAGCCACAGTTTAATCAGGTATAATAAATACTTCATATCAGTCAATATATTATTCTCTCTTTTATTTCAAATAGTTCCCATGATTTTTCCTGAAGTCCAAAAATTTTAAGAAGAAAACCATATAGAAAGCAGTGGCAATCAAAGTATTGGTTTGTGTTGGATTAAGTTTAATCCAGCACAAGCCAATACTTTAATGATTGCCACTGCTTTCTATATGGTTTCCTTCTTAAAATTGGGAATCCCAGTCTTGACATAGTGTTCCATTCTGAGCCTGATGATTAGAGTATCATCAATGGTATACCTTACCTCTTCAGTAATGTGATGATGCTCCATAGCTACTGTGGATGCAGCACTTACTCATCAAGTGCTTGTTGTAAATTGAAGTGCCTAGTGTGAGAGCCAAGCCTTGGCATCAGCCTGCCCCATCAGGAAGCAGACCCTTATGGAAGCAGAGCGATAAAAAGGCTTTGGCCTGCAGTCTAGTCTGCAAAAGAAAGCCGCATTGAACAACAGGACTTCTGACCTTACTGATCATTTTTCTCCTATTCAGGTAGCATTTGTTGTATTCTCTATGTGTCAGGCTCTGTGCCAGAGCTATTTGTAAAGAAAATCCAACAAGGGAATAGGCACTTGACTTATTGACATAATACAGAGGTCTTATAGAGATATGTGTGATATTGTACTTAAGTCCACATTTCTTCACCAGATGTCACAAGTGACATGATCAAGATACTCCAATTCTGCTGTCTTAATGCAGTATATATGAAAAGAAGCATGAACAGGGAAGCCCACAGATTTCATTTTCTCATTAGTTTGATCCTTATTCCAGATAGGGACTAACAGTTTATATAGAAATTCATTTAGCCTCATTTCACACAAAGTATGCATTCTTGGACCAGGACATATTTTTGTATGACAAGTTCTAGCAATTAGAAGATTTTTAAAAGTAATTAGATAATTATATTTATTTTAGAATCTAGTAGTCAAAACCTTTTATCTTTATTTTCATTCTTTCACTTGTGCTAATAGAAGCAAGAGAGTTTATAAATAAACTTGTCAAGTAACAGACCAAAGAAAAATTTTAAAACGTTTTAAAAGTCTATTTTTCTAACTGATTATTTTGCTTAAAAATTGATACTATCGCCTGGCTGGCATGGATCAGTGTCGAGCATCAACCTATGAACCAGGAGATCATGGTTCGATTCTGGTGAGGACGCATGCCCGGATTGCGGGCCCGATCCCCAGTGAGGGGTGTGCAGGAGGCGGCCAAAGATTCTCTCTCATCATTGATATATTTCTCTCTCTGTCCTTTCATCTCTGAATCAATAAAAATATATTTTTTAAAATTGATACTATCTATTCTAACCAGTTTGACTCAGTGGATAGAGCATCAGCCTGCGGACTCAAAGGTCCCAGGTTCAATTCCGGTCAAGGGCATGTACCTTGGTTGCAGGCACATCCCAAGTGGTGAGTGTGCAGAATGCAGCTGATTGATGTTTCTTTCTCATCGATGTTTCTGTCTGTCCCTCTCCCTTTCTCTCTGTGAAAAGTCAATAAAATATATATATATTTTTTTTAATTGATACTATCTTACAGGTAATATTCATTCTGCTTGTTAAAAATGGCAATAATTTTATGTAACATTTTTGTTAGAACCTGCCTTGATCTTTGATAGCAATCTCTTGTTAGACAATTCTGATTGCACAATAACACCCCTTTGTTCCACTCTCCATTAGCTACTGACACCATAGAAGAGGCAGAAAGCATGCCTATTACTTGAGCTCTATTTAACACTTCAAGATATAATGAAGGATTTTGAACAAAAACAAAAGTACATCAAATTACATACTTACATCTGCAGTCACCCTCAGAGAGAAATGGCATCATGGGAACAACCTTAGCAAAAACCAGACAAACTATTTCAGACTTGCACAGAAATAAAAGTAGTAATCTATTCTGTAATTAAGACTTCATATTCACTGAAACCGGTTTGGCTCAGTGGTAGAGCGTCAGTCTGCGGACTGAAAGGTCCCGGGTTCGATTCCGGTCAAGGGCATGTACCTTGGTTGCGGGGGTGTGCAAGAGGCAGCTGATTGATGTTCATCTCTCATTGATGTTTCTAACTCTCTATCCCTCTCTCTTTCTCTCTGTAAAAAATCAATAAAATATATATTTTAAAAAAGACTTCATATTCATTTCATTATTTATTGTTTTCAGCATGTCTTTAAAATCATTTTTCTAATGAAAATTGTGTATTTACTATATACTAGACAAGCGACATAAAGGGGAATTGATCCAGAATTACAGTCCTACTCCTGTGCTCTCTCATAAGCCAAGTGTGCAAGTAGTTCCTTGCCACAATCCCATATCCCCACACCTACCTTTGCAACATTAAACTGCCAAACACCACCCAGGAACGGATTTCCTTTTTCATCATTTAAGCCCATTATCTTGTTCCCTTACTATCTTGCCAAACTCGTTTCCCTCCACTTACATTTCTGAGACATGATGCAGCAAGATAACAAGTCTAGACTGTTTGTATAAGTAGACAGTTGGGTCTTAAAGTAGAAGCAGAGGACCAAAAGCCAATAGTCTCCTTTTTCTTCTTTTTTGTGTATTAACTAAACTCTTTGTAATACACAAAATATTGTCCCAATCCAAAGATTTCTTTGTGTTTTAAAAGGCACTCACTTAGTGGTGTTGCACAGCAGCTGGCCAAGAATGGCAAGGCAGTTTGGAAAGAAAATGAGAGTGCAGTGTATTCAATTGAAAGGTTAGCCTTTGCCGAACTTGCCAATTAGAAAGTAGTTAACTCAATAAAGATTAACGTAATCTTTAGAGTGTATTCACACATACAGTGAGAGTTGGACTCATGGAGTTGATATTTTGAGTGAGGGTGTGGGTGGATGAAGCCCTCTGCTTTAGTTTCAGAGGATTTCTTTCAATCTAACCAGAAGTATGGAAACAGGAAAGTCTCCACCTATGCCTCAAATTATCTGTCTATCCATAACCTCCAGAATTTTGTGTTTTAAATGTGACTCATTTGGTCACTGATTTATGGGGTAAAATTTATCTAGAAATAACTGTCAAGACAAGCTTGGTGAGTAACCAGGGATAAAAAGGTGATGTTATCTCGGAGGGTTGCCATTTAGTGACATGCCCTAATTACATTATTTAGGTCAATGTATCCCCACTTCGGCATCCTCCCAAATATATAGAGGATATTGAGTACGTGTCCTCAGACAACTGCTGTGGTAACTGATAGTGACTTTTGCAAAATGTAGACAGTGGCTACTGAGAGATGAGAGAAAACTGGACTGGCAGCAGAATGCCTGGGGAAAGTCCTGGGACTAAACGGCCATGCCTCTGGGTCATGACAGGGCCATTCGAGTAGTGACTGAAGAGACTAAGAAGAATAGTGGCAAATGGGGATAAAGGTAAAAATTCCCAAAGTACTGTTCTTCATTCTGATTTCACTTTAAATCTTGTTTATAATAAATACAGGGTGTGGGGATTTAATCCTCTCAAAGGTGCTCAAATCAGAAAGAATGTTCCAGTCAAAGCACAAACTGCCTCTCATGCTTCTGAGGAAAAGCCTCCTTCTAACAGCCTCAGGAGCTTCTTTCAAATCCCAGGCCTTTGTCTTTCATCTCTCTGCTCTGGGGAGCCGGGTACTACCACATCTGGTGGTGGTTTGTGTGAAAGGAAATCATATATATATAATAGTTTCCTGTTTGGTCATTTCAACTTATTCCTGTGCTGGACAGAATTTGATACACTTCGCTCAGCAGCAGTGTCCTGTCACTGAAGTGCCAGTTGTTTACAGCGGCTGTCAGTCAGAGCTGCAATGCTTCACCACTAGCCCCGAAGCTGCAGGCCTCTTACTCTGACCTTTCATTACACAAATAGTATTGTTAATAGATTAAACCAGAGGATGGGATTTATTCCTTTAGAACCTAGAATTCTTTTTTATAAGAAACTCACAAAGTATAGTAAGTATGACGATTATTTTTTTTTTAATATATTTTATTGATTTTTATACAGAGAGAAAGGGAGAGAAATAGAGAGTTAGAAACATCGATGAGAGAGAGTCATCGATCAGCTGCCTCTTGCACACCCCCCACTGGGGATATGCCCGCAACCAAGGTACATGCCCTTGACCGGAATCGAACCCGGGACCCTTCAGTCCCCAAGCCGACGCTCTATCCATTGAGCCAAACCGGTCCTGGCAGTATGACGATTATTATCATCTTAATCATTTCTAGAGCCAGATTTCATTTTATTTCTGATTTTTTTAAATCCCGAGTTTATTACAATTATTGCGTAATGATTGGTATAGTGTTTTGTTTACTTTAAAAAAATCAAAAAGATGCCAATAAAAAATATTTAATACTTTGACTTCTCTTTTTCTCTTTTAGTTTTCATTCTTTTGCCCTGGCCATGCTTGATAGTCTTGCCCTGGAATCCTTTCTTTGTCTCATTTCCTGCAGAGGTGGCCAGTGTTCTCTCTGGGCATGTCCATTTGGGGCACTGAGAGATCATAGAATTGGTGACATTATTTCCATATATTAAAAACTCTTCACACAACAAACTCTTCAACTTCAGAACAAGCACTGTCAATTCCTAAGTCTATGTATATAATTAGGGGGAGGGGGGATGCTGAAGGGGGGAGGGAGGGCGGGGAGATGGATCTATTCTGCAATCATCACTTGCTTTTTACTCTCATCATGTAACTAAAACCAATTCCTTTTTCCTTAAAGACATTAGAAATGTATGGATCCTTCATTTTCATTAGGACCTCCTGAAATGCTTACAATGGAACAGAGAGAAGTGTTTGTGGTATCACAATATATTTGCTTAGGGCAGGAGTGAGCAAATGGTGACCTTCAGACCAAAGGTAGCCAGCAGCCCTTGTGTGGAGGTTTTTACATTTTTAAAGGGCAGTGGGTTGAGTTTAAAAAACCACAAAGACTATGGAACACAGACAACGTATGTCCCATTAAAGTTTAAAATATTTACTATCTGGCCCTTTACAAAAAAAAAAAAAAAAAGTGTGCTGGTCTCTAGCTTGGGTTAGTATCATGTGTTACAGTTGAGAGCCCTGTATTTAGAGCAACTTGTATCTCTGCACTTTAAGCATGAACTCTTCTAGGGGACTGCCTGCTGTGAAAGGGTAAACTATCCTTCTCTAGTCCCTCTAACTGTTCAGTTGACTAGATATTCTTCTGGTGGTTCTCAATTCTGGCTGCATTTCAAAATAATTTGGAGACCTTCACAGATCTGTTGCTTAGGCCCTTACACCAGAGATCCTGATTTAATTGATCTGAAAGTGGGGCCTGGGCATAGGTGTGTCTTCCATGCTCTTAACCAGTTGCACATCTGGGAACCACAGGCCTACACCACTGGAAGGTCTGTTTGTGGATTAACAATTAGATCACTTTCGTAGGCAATTTTTACTCACATTTTTCATTAGAAATGTAATAAAGACGCATTATACAAATTGCTCTTTAATTTCAAGACAGAAGTGTTGCTCAGGGAAATTTTAACTGAGACCATTTTTTAATGGGAAGCACATATGAAACAGATAATGCAGAGCCCAGAGAAATAGAATTTTAAAAGATAGGAACTGAAAGAAGCATGCTGGGGGGGGTGGGGAGGTAGAGAAAAGAAAGAAAGAAAAAAAAAAAACACTCAGAATTTCAATACACAAATCACTGAGTAGATTTCTTGCTGTCTGGGTAAGAGGATCTATTTTCAAAAGTGCTATTAACATAAACAGAGCAGTAAATCTGGGGCACCATACTTCCCCCCCCCCCCAAAAGTTGTTAAGAAGAATTATATCAGTCTGCAGGTGTCACACGCAGTTACTCAGAATCAGAAAGAAGGCTGATCGGAGGTTAGAAGATCTCTCTATCTTTTTGCAACCAACCACGTCTATTCTGTTTATTTAATACTTCCTCTTGCTAATGAAGGTACTGTTTGGGGATGGGCTGGGCTTTTCCATCTCAGCATAAGGACTGCAAGATTTGAATGTGCCCTGTTGCTGTCTTCCCTGACCACAGCAGGTCCCCCAGGCAAGAATCTGAGCAGTAATAACCGGTAACAAAAGATTATGTACCAGATATCTGACATTTTTTCTTCCAGTTTATTTGTTCTTCTTCCCCATTTACCAATTTTTTCCCCCTCTTCTTTTTACATTTTCCCAAACCAGCAAGTACGGAGGCAAGACACATCAAGGCAGAGATGGGAAGTGAAAGAGCTCTGGTTCTGGACAGATTAGCAAGCAATGTGGCAAAACGAAAAAGCTCAATGCCTCAGAAATTCATTGGTAAGAATGCAACCCCTTTTCCTGCTGCTGTTAGCAGATAGTTTGAATCAGCTATCATAGGATGCTTCTTACACTGGCCCTTCCTAACTTAATTTCAGTTAAAATAAGGTTATTGGTTTTCCATTGTTCGCGTTTATTCTTTGTGATTCATTTTGAGAACTAGAGCAAATAGAATAAAATATCTTAACTAAAGAATCTTCACAACTGAAGATGGGAGTATTTGGTATCCAATTTCCTAAATGGAGTGGGTGTTTAAAATGCTGTTCCTTCCTCTTTATTCTGAATGACATATGTTGCATGAGTTTGTGCAAGTAAGATGTTCAAGATAACATTTTTGTAATCTTTTGTAATTATATTTTACAAGTTGGTTCCGTTATCATGCTCAAACTTTTTTTCATGCTCTAAAATGTATTGCCATATTTTCTTGAATTTGATTCATAATTGGCTTTAAGAGAAAGAGTTTGGAAAACATAGATTTAAATAATAAGATTTAATTTAGTCATTTATCTTACTGGAGTTAATTTTTATGCCACTGGTTTTCACATTGTCAAAAAATACAACTTAAGGAGATGACTAAGAAATAATTATGTCCATTAAAGTATTAGGACTGCTGAAGGGCAGAGATATTTTGCTGAACTCTCCCAGATGCTTATATAAACATGACCATGATATTTAAAATAGATTTATATTTGTGAAGCAGGCAGCTGAATTAAATGTATCAGTTTTGCTATAAATTGAAAGTGCTATTGAACAAAAATAGTTATCACATGAAAATAGACCTCCCTCAACGCCAGTGATATTTTAGAAATCTGTCAGTCTATTTTCCCAAAGCTGCTGTTGCTGTTGATTTCTTATTACAGTCCTTTTGTGTTTATTCTTTTCAATAGCTTTTACAGATATTAAGGCCTATCTGTTTTTTAAATCTGGTTAATTTATTCTGGTCTAGATAATTTCTTACAGGCTGACATTTTATGTGAATTATAAAGATGTAATGAAAGAACCCATTGATATTTATGCTTACTTATTTTGTTTAGATGAAAAGTATTTATACCCTTTTAGTCACTTTAAGAATAAGTCTTGTCAAACTATAGTTGTTGTATTTTAGCTCAGAGAGACCCTCTTCCTCCTTACCATCTTCTCTCTCTTTGCTGAAAGAAGTCAGGGGGTATGTAGTGACTTTCATATGGCACAGTGGACCAACTGTGATGCCAAGATATTATTTTAAGACATTGCTCATATCTCTCTTGAGCTTTGAAGAAGTTCTGACTGTAGTACAGGAAAAAAGCTTTGATTGTTATGCTGTAACATGAGCATAGTTTAATTTGGGGAAAGTTTTGACTCTAGCTGATGTGGGGAGGTTCATGGGGGGAAATGGGCAAGAAAAAAATGTAAAGTGCCTTAATTTAAATTCAGTTATGATCAATACATTTTGGTCTAAGAGAATATGAGAGACGGTACCTAGTTCTTATAACTACTTTACACCTATTGTTGAGCTGCAGTCCTACCTAATATAATAAAAGTGGCTTTGGTATTTTCATGGATTAAAAACACATGTTTCACCCTGGTCAGTTTTGCTCAGTGGATAGAGCATCAGCCCTCGGAATGAAGAGTCAATTCCAGTCAAGGGCATGTACTTTGGTTGTAGTTTCAAACCCTGCCCCTGGTTGGGGCATGTGTGGGAGACAACCAATCGATGTCTCTCTCTCACATAGATGTTTCTCTCTCCCCCTTTTCCACTCTCTCTTGAAATCAATTGAAAAATATATTGGGTGAGGATTAACACAAACAAACCAACAGAAACCCACGTTTCATATGTCCAGGTCCATGCCATTTCACTCATTGCATCAAGGATTGATGTTCCATTTGTTTGTTACCATTGTGACCAGAAGATTTCCATGCCTCCATTTCCAGACTCATGAAAGATGCTGATCTTGTAGTTTGATTTCTTTCATCTTCTGAACCCATCACATTCTCTCTTTGTGGAATCAGGAAACCCCACAGAGTTAGCTCTTGATTTGCACTGAGGTGTAATAACTGCAGAGCTTCATGGTCCCCAAATAACTGGGGGAAGTTTTTTTGGTAAATTGTGGTAGAGTGCAGTAGGAAGAACCCTGGATTAGAAGCCAAAAGACCCAGGTTCTGATTCTAGCTCAGTCATTTCTTAACTGTGTGTTGAGACAAATCACGTAACCTTTCTGGGCCTCTGTTTACTCATCTGTGAAATGAGGAGACCGAATAGGTGATGAAGTGATCAGGAAGGCCCCTCCCAGCTCTATCATTCTGCAAGTCTGTGAGATGAGTTAGAAAAGGTGGCAATTATGAATACCCTTTGTGTTTATCAATGCCTTATGAATGCCTTTAGATAACTCTTTTCTCAAGATTGTACAGGTATGGTGTTTATGTTAGGAACTATATTATATATTTTAGGAGTATTTTTAATAAGATGAATCTGATATTCTATAAAACAGCTGTGTTAGCTCAACAGTTATATATTTGACTTAGGAATCACTGCTTGTCAATTCACTTTTTTGTCCATTCATTCACCATGAGATGGTTATAAAGCTCCTGCCCCACATGTGATATTCTTTTTCCTAATTATTATTCTAATCTTCTAGCATTAGCTTATATCCTGAATCTTTTAGAGATATTTTTATAACCTTTTTAGTCATTTAACTGAATCAATCTTTTTGATAGAAAATATCAAGGGCGTCAGGAAAAGGAACATTATGACAGTGTAATATCAAGTGATATAAAATATATGGGGCTAAAGTTTCCCTTCTCCTCTTTTCTCTCCTCTCTTCTCTCTCCTATATTTCCTCTCCGTTTTCTGAAAAGATCAGCTGCCAGGGAAATGGCAGTGGGTAAAGTGTGAAGGAAGAATGAGTCACTCCCTTTAATCCTTGCTGACAGTTGCACAGCACTCAGACATACCTTGGCTTCCCTGCCCTCTTGAACTATGAGGGTAAGGGTGAAATTATATAATCAGGTCAGCCTGATACTTTCCCAGCAGGCTAAAGATAATTACCAGAGGTAACATTTCTCATCCATTAAAATTGAACTGAGGAAGAGGAACCTATTGGATTAAGTTTAAATGCATTTAGAAACACACAAAAAACAAACAAACAAGAAATACAAAAAACATGACTCTATTGAAGAGTAAGAGTGCAATTACATTGCCCAAATAGGAGAAAAATAAAATCATTTTCCGTAATAATGCAATAAATGTTATATCACTTTCTCTAAAATGGGAAATAAATTGACATGCATTCATTAGAAATCAGTGTCTTCCATCATCAAAATAATTATTCTTTAGTTCTTTTCAAAAGTCAAGAAGACTTTATTTTTAGTGCCCAACCCTTTTAGGGGTTGTCCTTTCTCTGAATCTTTTTCTCCTATTATAAACTTGTTGGACTATACTTCTAACTAGACCATCTTCAAATACTTGGCTCAAAATAGAGGCCAGATTTCTTTCCTGGGGGGAGGAGGGAAATGATGACATTTCTGCATATTGCTTTTTCTGATTTTCATTCTTTTCCCAAAAACAGATGTGGTATTCAGACCATAGCATCTTCTTATTTTATTTTATGCATTACTTTATTAAAGGAAGTTTTCATGTCTACATGAACATGAAAAAGATCTCACTCACCTGCAGTAAACATGAGTGAGGTTTTGACACTTCAACAAACACCATCAATTCTCCCTGTGAAGTAACTAAAGAGAAATTGTCCGCTTTGGTTAACAGAGTGACAGGAGCAGTTTTAATACCTGTCTCTAAAAGCACAAAGTAACTTCTCCCACCCTTTCCCAAAAGGCTGGAATCCATGCTCCTATATGTATTAAAAAGTCATAGCATTTTAGATCTTAAAGGGATATTAGGAACCACCCAGTGAAGTTCTTTTACCAAGCAGGGAAAGGTGTCAGAGAGATAAAGAGACAGGGCTAGTAGGTGACAGAGCAGGGCCAGAACCTAGAGCTTGAAAGTATTGCAGTCTGAGGAGCACCCAGAGCAGTGCATGTCATGTGTGGGACACGGGGTCTGTGGACAGGGATGGGTTTAGACACTGAAGCTCGTAGAAGAAAAGCTCTGAAAAAGGGCAGTCATTCTGCTTCAAGGTGTGTTTTCATTTTTTATTATTAAGTTAAATGTATTGGGGTGACGTTGGTTAATGCATTATATGCATTCCAAGTTTATAGTTCTGTGATACATCATTTCTATTTCACCACCCAAAGTCTGCTCTCCTTCCATCATCACATATGTGGCCCTTTTACCCTCTCGCCATGTTGTGTTTTCTTGAGAAAAGAAGTTATCTCCTGCTGGTGATTCCGTCAGGACAGACAACATCCAAGTAGCCCTTCACAGAGAACAAGGCTTCTTCAGCATCAAAAAAAAAAAAAAAAATGTGGTCTACAGCTCAGTTTTCCTCACTGCCACCCCCACAGCTCTCTGTTCTCTCTCCTTCCTGTGGCTCCCCTCTGCTTCCCTCCTCCTGGGAGGAGTGTTAGTCACTTTAGTCTTATTTAGATTGAGATTAGAGCCATAATCATCATCAGATATTCCATTTTCCCTACTTACCTACCTTTTTTTTAAAAAATATATATATGCTTCCAGTAAGTGATAAATCACATGGAAAATTATATGAAGGTCACAGCAATACATTCAAGTGACTTGAAGAAACTTAAAACAAAGCAAATCTGATTATTTCACATTACCCATCATGATGATGGTGATATTGGAATTGTGTTATTTTTATAATGTCCAAATCATTTCCTCCTCTGCAAAAACAAAACAAGACAAAACAAAAAAACCTTTCAATGGCTCCCCATTGGAATAAAATCCAAACAGCGCAGGCAGTCTGAATCTTCCACACTTTGTCTCCAATTTACCTTTTCTAATATTATTCCTTCAGCCACAATGTACTCACACTTCTATACTTTTCCACGTCCATGTAATGTTCTTCCCATGCTCTGTCTGAAGTGCCCACCCTCACATCTGCCCTTAA